TTTGATTTTTGTACTTGATTTATATGTTGATCCCACATTTCTCCTATTATTATTATTATTTTTATTTTTAATAAAATGCTGAAGTGGTAGGTAGATGCAAGATAAAGGTAGAAAACATAGTTTAGTGCTGTAAGAAGGCAAATGTAGATGATCAGATGATCAGGTGTGTGCCTATGGACTAAGTATTAATCCAGGCTAGACAAGGGCAGCAAGACATCCACGGATGCAGAAGATTTCTCTCAAAGCAGGGGGGGTGAGGTTCTGAGCCTCACCTCTGTTGATCCCCAAATTCTCACCTGATGGCCCCCCTGCGACTGTGCCTGTCTTAGGTTGTTCCTCCCTTGAGGAATCTTACCCGTCTCTGGCTAACCAGTCATCTTCCGGGGCCATACAGGGAAATGTAAAGTTGGTAAGTGAGAGAGAAGCCATATTGTTTGCAAAGGTTAGCTTTTTACTTCTTTGCAGATTTATGCCCTGTGGCTTCTATGCCCAGCACTTGTCTCGAGGTATCTTTACCACCTGGAGGAATTATGATACTCGGTAAATTCGATATGAGGCACGAATTCTATTTAAGGGTTGTAATTAGGAAGGAAGAAGAAAAGCTATAGATGTAGCATATGAGGGACAGGAAACCTTTTTTATCTAAATATATTTTGAAGTCTTCCCCAGCCATCTAGTTAGAACTGATTACTCTTTTGGTCAGAGTCTCAGAGCACTTTTCTTGTACCTCCTGTTAGACTTGCCCAATTGTGTTTATAACAGAGTTGGTTGCTCATATCTGTCTCCCTTTCTAAACAACTTCAGGGCAAGAACTGTGGCTTTTAAAAAATCTCAGTGTCCACATAGGGCTTTATTCTTACTATGTGAGTGATACATGTTTCAGAATTGAATTAAAGTTAGGTAACATGGATAGCTTCTAGATAACTGTAAGTGGGCTGGAATTGCTGGTCTGGGTACATTTACTAGAAAATTTAGTAGGTAAGTGTGGGTCTCCTGACATAAAGAGTACAGTACAGTGAAAGGCACAGGGCTTCCCAATCTCTTTGACAGTTTTCAGTCTAGGGAGACCTCACCTGTCCCAGACCCTTGACAAGAGACAGTGGATGGGATGTGAGCTGGTGGGCAAGAGTCATCTTTCACTTGAATTTACAGTGGAGAGCTTCGGGGTCAGGAGTTTCCTTCTCTACTAGAGGACAGAGATAGGGAAAGCTACTTCTGCTTGGCACACAGTCCTGAAATGTGGCTCTTGGCCACACTGTGGTGAGATTTGGGCAGGGAGTATTGAGATTCATCCCTGGATTACAAGAGGTTGACATTTCATGGAAAGCCTGATTCCAGAATAGAGGAGGACACTCTGTCATTAAATAAAAAAGTTCACTAGCTGTTGCAGATGGGAAAGGTGCCCAGAGTGTCTGGGTTGAGGATGCCTCTCGTCCAGGGAAACCTCTCCTCCCCTTCTTTACTATTAGAGTTGCAGCTGGGACGTGGCTGTTAACTCGGGACTGCAGTTCCCAGCTCCCTCTACAGCTGGGTTTTAGGCAAAGAAATGTGCTCAAAATTTTTGTGTGCAACTTCTCACTCATTTCCTGAGGGAACGTCTCTGGCACTGCATCTCCCTTGTCCTTCTCTTCCTACTGGCTGGGATAGAGGCCATTAAACTGACCTTGGGAGCAGTTCGCTGAGGCGGCGGCGGTGCCGCGTCACCGGCGGTGCCGCGTCACCTGACTCTCCCTGCGCGCTGGCGGGGAGCAGGGCGGATCGTGCCAGCCACCGCCCGGCCTTTGCTAGCAGCTCTTAGATAGGTTCCTCAGGGGCCTTGCCTCTGCCATCCACGTAAATCTACCATCAAACACTTACTGAACACCGCCTGTGTGTTAGGCCCTCATATGGAGCCGGAGTAAACACACGAATGAGTGATGCTTAGTCTCTGTCTTCAAGGAGTTTATAGTCAGTGGGACAGACAAAGCACATCGGAATAAAATTAAGTGTACAGGGATGCTATCACTCAGACCACAGGCAAGATACGCTGGAGGTTACAGGAGGAGAGATGTCTGCAGGCGGCGGCGAGCCAGGCAGTCTCATGGAGATGAGCCTTGAGAAATTTCTGAGGATAGATGAAATTTGGAAAGGCGGCAAAGGACAAGGAAGGCTTTCTGGAAGGGCAAGTGCAGTGTGTGTTTTGAGATTGGGGGAGGCGATAGTGGAGCGGCCAGTTCGGGCGAAGGAAGCAACTTGTTTGCATCAGGGAGTAGCAGTAGCTCCACGGACAAGTTGGCATGTGACAGCCGAGTGCAGAGCCCCGAGCGCCAGGCAGCCTTGGGTTGGGCTCTTCCCGGCAGTCAGTGCGGGCAGGAGCGGCGTCACTGTGCGCCTGCGTGAACCTTGCGTCGGCGCGCAGTAACCCAGGCCGCCTTGTTTGTTCCCAGATATGTTGCCCTGGCGTCTTGTAGGAAGCTGAGAAATCTGGCTCGGCCTCCAAGATACAGTTTTCCTACAAACAAGTTGGTTTGTGTACCAAGGGCCTAAGGCCATTGCACAAACTTCAGAGGAACAAATACGTGGCTGGTTGGTCACTGGTTCCTCCCTTTCCTTTGAGCCCCACCTCTAAAACAAACTTCGTCTCATCTTCCTAGTGTCCCGCTTTCTACGCCAGTGATTTCTCGCTACACCTGTCTTTGTGTAAGTACTTCCTTTAAAAAATGCAAGTAAACTTTGCATGTTTAATCTCATTCTTCTTACCTCACTAACTGGCATTTTGTTGATATCCCTAAGAAGTCATGTTCAGACACGGTTCCTCGGCAGTTAAGCTTGTTTGTTTTTATTTATCAACCACCTAGCAACACAGTCTTTAACGGATCCCTCCCTAACAATTGGTACTGTACATGCATTTCTCCAGTATTGTGTAGATTTTTCCAGCTACACATGAACTACTTTTCCAACCAGTGGCAATTAACTCAAAACGTGAGAAAGTCAGGCTCATGGAAAATTTACTTCTAGGTGTTTTTGCCTTATCTCCAAAGAGTTAGGCTTCTGTGGTCTTGAAAGGGCAGAAGTTTAGATGAAGCAGCATTTGATTGCAGCTGCCAGAATCTCAGTCATAGCTTTCAACTTGGGTGGGCTAGCATTAACTCTAACGTGCTTCTTCAACATGTGAGGGTAGAAGGCCAAGATACCGGAACAGTATTCCGTGACCCCTTTGTCCAAGAGTGACTTTTCTTAATTATTGAATCAGATGTAGGAGAAGATGGAAAAATGAGTGGAAACTGTCTCAGATGTTTGAATGGTGTGAGACATTATTACTGTCAATATGATGGAAAATGTTGTATAACTCATTTTAACATTGCAGAAAATCAGGAATAGAGACTCCTTTTGGGCTGTTGAGAAGAATTCTCAACTTGTAAATTTTGCCCTCTTGATAACTTTTTTTTTTTGGTATCATTAATATACGATTACATGAGCAACATTGTGGTTACTAGATTTCCCCCATTATCAAGTCCCCACCACATACCCCATTACAGTCACTGTCCATCAGCGTAGTAAGATGCTATAGAATCACTACTTGTCTTCTCTGTGTTGTACAGCCCTCCCCGTGCCCCCGCACACACATTATACATGCTAATCATAATGCCCCCTTTCCCCTTATCCCTCCCTTCCCACCCTCCCCAGTCCCTTTCCCTTTGGTAACTGTTAGTCCATTCTTGGGTTGTGTGAGTCTGCTGCTGTTTTGTTCCTTCAGTTTTTGATTTGTTCTTATACTCCACAAATGAGTGAAATCATTTGGTACCTGTCTTTCTCCGCCTGGCTTATTTCACTGGGCATAATACCCTCTAGCTCCATCTATGTTGTTGCAAATGGTAGGATTTTTTTTCTTCTTATGGCTGAATAATATTCCATTG